GAAGGTATTTTTGGAAAAGATTTGGGTGACTACTGACTTCTAGTGTTTGTTAGCGACGTTAGCACTGTAGCTCGGGTGCTGAAACCAAAGAAGCAAAACTTGCGCACCAAATATTCTGGTCTTTCTTGGTAGAACATTGTGTAAATTTGATTTTTTTTCCCTACAAAAGTTCATTACACACCACACTGCAGGTGCAGCCTGTATCAGTGTGTAAAATCTTTACTGGCGGGAGAAGCCGGGCGAGCGCCGTTAAACGCTAAATAATTCAACAATATTGACCTGACAGCATCACTCACACAGCCTGCATGAGGAAAGGGGGAGGAGGAGGAGGAGGAGGAGGAGGGGGTATTCTTTATGATTCTGTTCTTTTCCTACAGCAGACACATCAGCCTTGCAGCTCAGTGAGTTCTCCTGCTGTTCAGTGCGAGTTTAATCCGCTCTACAGCGCTGAGGGAGATTAATAGGAGACTGTGACTCTATTCAACAGTGCTATTTGGCCACCTAGTGGTCAGAAATGGTAAGACAGGATTCAATTTAACTGCAGGCTGTGTGCGCTTTATTGATACCTGATGAGAAATTGAGGAGAGTACAGCATAGCTGTACAAGCAAACAGGTAAAGTAAATAAAAATATAATGAATTGAATGAATGAATGAATGAATGAATGAAGTAAAACAAAAGGAAAAGACAAAATGATGCACTGTGTATATCTTTACTGTCAATAATAAATAAATAAATAATATATAAAGTATTTCCAACATGCTCACTTGAAAGGAGATGATAAATGGTCTTAATTCCAAGTAATTTTAGAGCATTTCTACATTTATATAAATAGGTTTATACAATACACGTATGCATGCATGAATATATATATATATATATATATGTGTGTGTGTGTATATGACATAGTATCAGTGTTGCTGCTGGACTGAGAACCAAAAACATCCAGCCAACAGCGTCCTGTGGGCAGCGTCCTGTGACCACTGATGTAGGACTAGAGGATGACCAACACAAACTGTGCAGCAGCAGATGAGCTATCGTCTCTGATTAGTGTGTGTTGCGCTGGTGCAGGTGGATCAGACACTGCAGTAACACTGACGTGGTGGTGGTGTGTTAGTGTGTGTTGCGCTGGTACGAGTGGATCAGACACAGCAGTGCTGCTGGAGTTTTTAAACACTGTGTCCACTCACTGTCCACTCTATTAGACACTCCTACCTTGTCGGTCCACCTTGTAGATGTACAGTCAGAGACGATAGCTCATCAGCTGCTGCACAGTTTGTGTTGGTCATCCTCTAGTCCTTCATCAGTGGTCACAGGACGCTGCCCACAGGACGCTGTTGGCTGGATATTTTTGGTTCTCAGTCCAGCAGCGTCACTGAGGTGTTTAAAAACTCCAGCAGCACTGCTGTGTCTGATCCACTCGTACCAGCGCAACACTCATTAACACACCACCACCACATCAGTGTCTGATCCACTCTGTAAATATGGCTACAGGAAGCTAATTCTTCAATTTACTCTGTGTTTATAGATCACAGTGAGTCATACAGTGTCAGAAACCACATAATCAGCTCCATTAGAGTCTGTGATGATTTAGGCATTGGAGCTGCTAATTGTTAGCTGCATTAGCCTTTTAGCTCCAGTGCTATACTGAACAATCTGAGCCATTCCTGTTATGGCAGAAGACAAGTGAGCTACTCTATAGACGCTCATACGAGCACATGGATCCATTTAGGGCAGCTGACTACACTGAATATTTATTATCTGCTAAAGCCTGAGGGATCAGCGGCCCATTTAAATCCAGGTGGTCTCCAGCAGTGTAAATACCAAGGCTGAGGGACCTGAGAGCAGAAAGAAAAACAAACCCCTCTCAACGCTGCGCCATGTCCTCTAACACCTCTGCTGCTTAGGCATCTGGGAACAAAAGGTTTTAAGGTCAGTGTGGACTATATTTTACTGTAGTCCTGGACACTTTATCAGAAACCCCTCCCGTGAAGCTCCATCAGTTGACCCCCCAAAAAAGAAGTTCATCAAAGTATGTTATTAGTATACTTCTTTTAAACTACAATTAAGTGACTATGCTTTCAGTATACACCGATCAGGCACAACATTCTGACCACCTCCTCGTTTCTACGCTCATTGTCCATTTTATCAGCTCCACTTACTATATAGGTGCACTTTGTAGTTCTACAGTTACAGACTGTAGTCCATCTGTTTCTCTGATACTTTGTTAGCCCCCTTTTACCCTGTTCTTCAGTGGTCAGGACCCCCATGGACCCTCACAGAGCAGGTGGGTGGTAGATCATTCTCAGCACTGCAGTAACTGACATGGTGGTGGTGTGTTAGTGTGTGTTGTGCTGGTACGAGTGGATCAGACACAGCTGTGCTGCTGGAGTTTTTAAACACTGTGTCCACTCACTGTCCACTCTATTAGACACTCATACCTTTGTCAGTCCATCTTGTAGATGTAAAGTCAGAGACGATAGCTCATCTGCTGCTGCACAGTTTGTGTCGGTCATCCTCTAGTCCTTCATCAGTGGTCACAGGACGCTGCCCACAGGACACTGTTGGCTGGATATTTTTGGTTGGTGGACTATTCTCAGTCCAGCAGCGACACTGAGGTGTTTAAAAACTCTGGCAGCACTGTTATTAAAAACCTCAGTGTCGCTGCTGGACTGAGAATAGTCCACCAACCAAAAATATCCAGCCAACAGCGTCCTGTGACCACTGATGAAGGACTAGAGGATGACCAACACAAACTGTACAGCAGCAGATGAGCTATCGTCTCTGACTTTACATCTACAAGGTGGGCTGACAAGGTAGGAGTGTCTAATAGAGTGGACAGTGAGTGGACACAGTGAGTGGACAGTGAGTGTTTAAAAACTCCAGCAGCACTGCTGTGTCTGATCCACTCATACCAGCACAACACACACTAACACACCACCACCACGTCAGTGTTACTGCAGTGCTGAGAATGATCCACCACCCAAATAGTACCTGCTCTGTGAGGGTCCATGGGGGTCTTTTAATTGTCAGAATTCCCCTTTATGGTGAAGGTTATGGTTGGGAGCAACACAACAACATGTACACACTTACAGAAGACCAAGGAAACACCTCAAAAACAGGACTGCATTACATTGTTTTACCACTAGAGGGCGACATGTATACATATAAATTTACTCACTTGTGTTGAGCTAGGAGCATTAACTCTGACATAGGAATTCTGAATTGCGAGATGTCTTTAATGCTGAGGCCTTTATACTTTCTTGAATAGTTTAAATGATAATAATTTTACTACTCAAATATATTATTGAGCAAAATAATCGTTTTTTTCCTCAGGTCCATTTTAATCATTAACGTTTAGCTCTTAATTCTCTTGATGGGTTTAATTTGATCCTGTTGTTGTTGGTTCAGGTCCTGTTCTGCTCTACTGTTGATCAGTCCTTTCACTTTAAATCTCTAAGTGTTTTAAAGACATAGACAGCTTTCAGTTCTGATGCAATGAGCAGATCCTGCAGTTGTATAAGTACTTAAAGCTGCACTATGTAAGATTTTGTGCAGCCTATGAGTGCAGTCCTTCACCATCATTTGCTGAAATAGCTGGTAATTAATTGGTGTTTGTGCATCTCGTAATCAGTTTACCCACAAGCAGGAGGGTCTTATATATTGAGGCTGCAAATTACCACATTGAGACAACAAATTACTATATTGAGGCCACAATTTACCATATTGAGACAACAAATTACTATATTGAGGCCACAATTTACCATATTGAGACTACAAATTACTATATTGAGATAACAAATTACTATACTGAGGCCACAAATTACAATATTGAGGCAACAATTTACCATGTTGAGGCCACAAATTACCATGTTGAGGCCACAAATTACCATATTGAGACAACAAATTACTATACTGAGGCCACAAATTACCATATTGAGGCCACAAATTACAATATTGAGGCCACAATTTACCATATTGAGACTACAAATTACTATATTGAGACAACAAATTACTATACTGAGGCCACAAATTACAATATTGAGACAACAATTTACCATATTGAGGCCACAAATTACCATGTTGAGGCCACAAATTACCATATTGAGACAACAAATTACTATAATGAGGCCACAATTTACCATATTGAGGCCACAAATTACCATATTGAGGCAACAATTTACCATGTTGAGGCCACAAATTACTATATTGAGGCCACAATTTACTATATTGTAGCCTCAAATTACAATATTGTGGCCACAATTTACTGTATTGTGGCCACAAATTACAATACTGAGGCCTCAATTTACCATGTTGAGGCCACAAATTACTATACTGAGGCCACAATTTACCATATTGAGGCCACAAATTACAATATTGAGGCAACAATTTACCATGTTGAGGCCACAAATTACTATATTGAGGCCACAATTTACTATATTGTAGCCTCAAATTACAATATTGTGGCCACGAATTACAATACTGAGGCCTCAATTTACCATGTTGAGGCCACAAATTACTACACTGAGGCCACAATTTACCATATTGAGGCCACAAATTACTATATTGAGGTAAGAACTTACCATATTGAGGCCACAAATTACAATATTGAGGCAACAATTTACCATGTTGAGGCCACAAATTACTATATTGAGGCCACAATTTACTATATTGTAGCCTCAAATTACAATATTGTGGCCACAATTTACTGTATTGTGGCCACGAATTACAATACTGAGGCCTCAATTTACTATGTTGAGGCCACAAATTACTATATTCAGGCCACGAGTTATGGAAAACGTAAGTCGTGGCCTAAAAATAATAATTCGTGGCCTCAGTATAGTAATTCGTGGCCACGCCTTATCAAGAAATAATCACCACGTCACCCCGGGGTCTCTAGGCAGTCACAGAGAGGCAAGCACGTTTTTACCCCGGAGCTGCAGCTTCCCGGACTGACCGCTAGAGGCGCAGCGCTCCATATGGTCGCAGCCACAGCAGCACAAGTCTCAGTCAGCGTGGACTCCGTGGGCGCTCTCTGCTTTCTGCCCCGAAACGAGGACTTTTTATTGTGCTTCACACCAAAAAACTACCCGAGTCCGAGGAAACAGCAGCCCTGAAGCAGACAGCCCGCTGTTCAGCCCATGCAGGCCTGTGTCGGTCGTTTTTAGGAGGGTATGTGTGTTTCTGAAAGGCAGCAGGAGGATCTGAGCACGGCGGACTCCGAGGTGAGTGCCATGAAGCCCTTCTACAAACTCACACTGCGGTCATTGTGAGCTAAAAACACTGTTTTTGCCATGTTTTGGTCGGTTTGCGTGGCTGATGTGACCAGTTTTTCAGCTTTAGGACTTTTGAGAGTCTGGAGAGCTTTGTGGAGCTGGTGGTTTGTGGAGAAGGACCTTCATTCTCAACTTGTAGCTCTATATTTCCCAAATGTTTATGCAGTTTATAGTGACTTGATACATTGTGTCTCAGCTGCATCTCAGTAAATGGTCCAGTTTATAAAACCTGTACTTTCTGTTGTTGCTGCTTCATTTGTGCTCGTGTTGAGAGGAATGCAGCTCGTAACTGAAGGATGGTCCGCTCTAGTTTGGTTTCTACTGGAAAAACAAGAAAGGAACCCTCCTCAGTTGTGGAGTTTATCTGAAGAGAGATCTCTGCTGCTGCTCCAGTCACCATGCTGAGGGTTGAGGGGTCTGGGCCGTGGCTGAGATTCCACACAAATGCTAGTCTGACTGGAGAAGCTGCCCAGTTCAGTGTTATTTGTATGGCTCTTAATACAGATGATCCCAAGCGTTTCCAGACGTGTTATTAGGCTTGGCAGTTTGAGCAAATGCTTGTTTAATATGCAGATACTCCCTTAACCCGTATATCACAAATGCAGTGCGACTAAGAGGAGGATAGTGGTCTGAAAAATGTAGGAAGAGTCAAACAGAAGAGCTGCTCTTCGATGCACTTCTGTTCAGATTTATTTGTTTAGCACTTTCTTGGAACGTCGTCCCAAAGCAGCTCGGCCAGAAATGTGTGTGCAGCCCCCCTAAAGAGCTCCAGGGCCAGGAAAAACTCCTAAAATTGTGAGGAAGAACGACTGAGAGGAACCAAGACTCGAAAGAAAAGGCTGTCTAAGAGCATGAGGAAGAACCACCGAGAAGAATCGAGACGCAAAAGGAGAACCTCCCTAAAAGCATGAGGAAGAACCAGGACTCAAAAGGAGAACCTCCCCAGAGCATGGGGAAGAACCAGACTCAAAAGGAGAACCTCCCTAAGAGCGTGAGGAAGAACCAACATTCAAAAGGAAAAGCTCTCTAAGAGCATGAGGAAGAACCACTAAGAAGAACCAAGACTCAAAAGGAGAACCTCCCTAAGAGCGTGAGAAGAACCAACATTCAAAGGAAAAGCTCTCTAAGAGCATGAGGAAGAACCACTAAGAAGAACCAAGACTCAAAAGGAGAACCTCCCTAAGAGCGTGAAGAAGAACCAACATTCAAAAGGAAAAGCTCTCTAAGAGCATGAGGAAGAACCGCTAAGAAGAACCAAGACTCAAAAGGAGAACCTCCCTAAGAGCATAAGGAGGAACCACTGACAGGAACCAAGTCTCAAACAGAGAAATTTCTAAGAGTTATGAGGAAGAGCTACTAAAAAGAGCCAAGACTCAAAAGAAAAAGCTGTGTAAGAGCATGAGGAAGAGCCTCTGAAAGGAACCAAGACTCAAAAGGAGAACCACCAAGAACCATGACTCAAAAGGAGAACCTTCCAAAGAGCATGAGGAAAAACCACTGAGAAAGAGCCAAGACTCGAAATGAAAAGCTCTCTAAGAACATAAGGAAGAACGACTGAGAAGAACCAAGCCTCCAGAAGAGAACCTCCCTGAGAGCATGAGAAACAACCACTGAGAGGAACCAAGACTCAAAAGGAGAACCTACCTAAGAGCATGAGGAAGAACCAAGACCCAAAAGGAAAAGTGCTCTAAGAGCATGAGGAAGAGCCACTGACGGGAACCAAGACTCCAAAAGAGAACCTACATAATAGCATGAGGAAGAACCACTGAGGCTCAAAAGGAAAAACTCCTTAAGTTTAAACTACTTTAGTTTAAGTTTAAGAAGGAAAGAGGAAGAAGCGCAGAGGGGAACCCATGTTCTTGTCTGAGCTTCAGCATCAGTTAGAATATGGAAATCGCAGTTCCACACACCCCTATGTTCTCTGTATTGTTCCTCATGCAACCATGCAAATCTCCTGGTCACCCGTTGAGCTCCTGCTGCTGTTATTCTGGTAAGCCCTGAGAAGTAATTCAATGATGTGGGATAAATTCCTTCTAGGAGTTTTTAGCGCAATCTCAGAAATGTTTTGTCTCCGTAGTGAGAGCAGGGAATGCGGTCACTCAGCATTGTGGTTTCAAGTGTGTATCAGATGTAACTGTGTGTAATTACAGAGGCAAAAAGGTGTGAAGACCAGTTTTCTCAGTTTCAATATGTAAGAGTTCTGATATTATAATCCAGACAGCAGGGTTCATTCTGGCCCAGTCCCATTTCTTCTTTTTACCCCTACCCCTTGTTTTCGAGTGTCTCCTTGCCCCTTAGAACTGAGCTGCAAGTTGTAGTGGTTGAAATCTTCCCTCTGAAATGGGACCCTCAAATAAAAAGAGCATCACTTCATTAACAGCTACCAGCGCTGCTCTGTAGGCGACCCTGCCAGTCTGCAGTGACAGCAGAGGAGGGTAAAGTTCAGCTCCTCACTGCTGGGCTTTAGTTACATTTAGGGCATCATATGATCTTCAAAGAGGGGGGCAATTATTTATTATCACCCACCCCTAATTGTTCAGTGATATGAAGCTGAAGTCAGATATTCACCAGATTCTTGTTCGAATTTTCCCGTTCCACCTTAAATGTTGCCCCAAATTTAGTTAGCTAGCTGCTGAGACATCTACTAGCGAGATTTTATATATATATATATATATATATATATATATATATATATATATATATATATATATATATATATATATATATATAAATAATATATAATGTGTGTATATGTGTGTGTGTGTGTGTATGTATGTATGTATGTGTGTATATATATATATATATATATTTTTTTTTTTATGCTTGTTATGAAGAAAAACACCAAAATACATTGAAACGACATTAAACTAAGATAATATGATGGTTATTGTAATTTTTATCAGAGAAAATTCTCACATTTGTGTTTCTTTGGTCTCTTGTTCTCCATCTTGCCGGTTTTTCTTTATTTCTCATAACTCTCTGTTTGGAGTCTCTGAAAAACCTCCGTTTGGAGGGTCATGTAGCCCCAACACTTCACCCTCCCCCTCTATCTCAACAAGAATCGGGACACCCTACCCCTAAACGTGAACGTGCAAAGTGAAGGGGTCAGGCTAAGTGTCGGGGCGAGGGGTGAAGTGAGACGGGGCCTGTGAGTGCTCTTAGCTCCACTCAGAATGAACCAGGCCACTGACCTTACCATTAGCAGCTCTGTCTGTGTGCTATGCTAACCAAACTACCAGAGCAGGTTATAGGAGAGGAACATTGACCGGAGCTGCAGGGCTGTCCTTTATTGCAATGTGGGAAATATTTATGATTTTCCCCCCCTCTCTTTCATCTTTGTGTCCCACATGCAACCCTGAGTGTGTTGTTGTTAAGGCTGAAAGCTCTGAAAGTTCCCAGGCTTTCCTGAGGCTGTGCTCAGTGGTTTCGTCTTGTTCCTGTGCTGTAGGTGTGCAGTGCAGCTCTGAATTGTCTCGCATGGTTGAAAGCTCTTATGTTCTGTAGGTTTGCACAAGTTGCACCAGTCTGCACCAGTTTTAACGTTTTTTTAACCTGGTAGTTTGGTGATCCACAGCTATACTTGGTGAGCCAGTGCTCTTAGACCCACATGTGTTTATTAGGGACATGCATTAGTATTTGAATACTTGCTGAACTGTTTCATGTGCCAGTATTCAAATACTGAAATTGCTATTCAGGTATTAGTTATGCTTACGGAAAGTCAGGGAGAAAATATACAGATCAATAAATCAGTGAAACAGTGACTTTGTGCTTATACACCGATCAGGCCTAACATTCTGACCACCTCCTTGCTTCTACACTCATCGTCCATTTTATCAGCTCCACTTACTATATAGGTGCACTTTGTAGTTCTACAGTTACAGACTGTAGTCCATCTGTTTCTCTGATACTTTGTTAGCCCCCTTTTACCCTGTTCTTCAGTGGTCAGGACCCCCATGGACCCTCACAGAGCAGGTACTATTTGGGTGGTGGATCATTCTCAGCACTGCAGTGACACTGCCGTGGTGGTGGTGTGTTAGTGTGTGTTGTGCTGGTCTGAGTGGATCAGACACAGCAGTGCTGCTGGACTGAGAATAGTCCACCAACCAAAAATATCCAGCCATCAGTGTCCTGTGGGCAGCATCCTGTGACCACTGATGAAGGACTAGAGGATGACCAACACAAACTGTGCAGCAGCAGATGAGCTATCGTCTCTGACTTTACATCTATAAGGTGGACTGACAAGGTAGGAGTGTCTAATAGAGTGGACAGTGAGTGGACACAGTGTTTAAAAACTCCAGCAGCACTGCTGTGTCTGATCCACTCGTACCAGCGCAACACACACTAACACACCACCACCACGTCAGTGTTACTGCAGTGCTGAGAATGACCCACCACCCAAATAGTACCGGCTCTGATAAAATATTGTGGTTAAAAATAAGTATATTGTGGTGAGAGAGCTGTGGAAGAGTGTAAAATATGCAAATTGATTAACTAATTATTGCTGATTTTTCACTAAGGTACATTTTAATTGAAGAATTCAGGTTATTAAGAGTAAAAATGACAACCACCCTCTTTATTATGTGTGCAAGAAGCTGGTGTCAGTTTGAGTCAGTGTGATCTGTTAACGCATGTGTTGTAGCCGTGAGCGGTGAGTTCGGCCTGTCGAGGGCTGATTTTATCTGAGCGTGCAGCGACGGCGTTCCCAATCTCAGCTGTGACTGTATCGGGCTTGGCCCGCCCACACGGCTCTCTGTGCTCTGTCTGTTGAGCCATTCAGCTGCTCCACTGAGATCCTGAAATACAGGCTTTTGTATGTTGCAGTGCATTCCAGCCGACCAGCTGAAGTGCTTTCATATGCTGAAAGTGAGAGCTGATGTCTGGGGCACGGCTCGGCCCTCGACTCTAGACACGACGCAAAGCAGATGTGTGTTTTGGTTTTTTTGTGAAAC